CAAGTGGATTTTGTTCTGTTTTGTCTGTCTTCCCTGGATTTATTTTTGCCCTCCAGCCTTCAAGGCCTCATTTCAGATTCTAGACCTTCTCTCTTCCTATTTCCAAGAGGCTCTTCCTTCTGTAGCAGGTGATACAGTGTGGTGAGGCACAAGCCTCAGAAAGCCATGATTCTGGGGAAGGGTGGAGAGGTGGGGGATGTAGAAGTTTGAAGTGATGGGATTCCAGACCGAATGCATCACAGACCCTGCCACAGTATTCATCAAGGGTGAAAAGTAAAATGAGAAGTGGTGGTGGAGAACTTACCTTTGATTAATCATTTCTAATTAAGACCTCTGACTCTTTCACCTGGTGGCTTTGACTGACCAAAAGCAGAGAATATACGACTTTTCGTTTCCATTGTTTCATCTCTATAACTTTGCTCTGTAACTGCAGTGAAAAGGCTGGCTTGAACTCGCTGCCAGAAGGGTTTGAGGTGCCAAGATCTCCTCACCTCTTAGAGATTGTGAGACAGCATTTTATGAGTTGTCTTCCCTCGTGGGAAGGATCCATGTGGGATGAGTTAAATGCAGAAGGAGGGTCCACATGACCTCTTCAACTCCCCAGTGACAGTTACAGAACGAAGTGGTGGTGAATTTACTTATGACCATGTGTGCACTCGCTTTCTTTGAATGGGAACATACCTATTAAAAGTGAGACTGGGCTCCTAATCGTGAAGGTGCTAGGAGTAGGATGGAAAACAGTGAAATCGTGGTGTCCCGTGGTATGTGAAATTTTATGGAAAAATGCCAAAGAACTGTTGCAAAATTAAGTGGTGAGGAAAACTAGGAGACCATTGCTAAAAGATAGGGGAGCGGGTGTGAAGCCTGGAGGGGCAGTGGAGGTGACGGACTCGCCCCTCGGCAGCAGCGGGGCGTGGGAACAGAGGCGGGAGCTGCGGGCTGATCTGAGAGGATCTCTCAGCCCTGCCTCTGCCGCCAGCGAGCTCCCCCACACACGTGTTCCGGTATCTCCCTGCACAGCTCAACCATTCGCGGTTTTTCTGGTGTGGTAGGCGAGGGTCACAGCGATCCTCAGAACTGTGAGGGGGACTCAGAATGGCCTTGTGGGGCACGTGCCCGAACCAGTACCGTGCTCCCTCCAGGAGGCCCCTGTCAGCCCACAGCCCTGCAAGGAAGCCTCTAGAAATCCATCGCTTCCCAGTGTTTGTCCCAGGAAAGCAGCTCAGGACCTCAGGGTGATGGAGGCCTCACAGAGAGTTTACATGACAGTAGTAAACTCACAGTACCCCCTCAGGATCTGCCGAAAGAGGGGGCACACCATAGCAATGGCTTTGAGCAGAGTCCGCGGGGCTAGCCGGGGGCTGGCGCGGGGCCGTTCTGTTGCCGTCCATCTGTCCATCCGGGTGCGCAGCTTCCCACAAGCGTGTTTCCCTCGTGTAACTCCTCTCACCTGGTCCTTGAAGCGGTGGCCCACCCCTTCCTGTGCATTGGCACCAGGGGCCCACCCCGAGCCGCTGGGCCAGCACCAGGCTGGCGGGGGTCCCGCGGGACGCCCCGTGTGCACAGCGGCAGGGGGAAGAAGTAACTGAACTGGAGAGGAGGAGGAGGAGGCCTGGCACCCTTCTGTAGAGCCAAAAGGCCTTTTGTGGCACTTTGTATGAAATTCTGCCTCAAAGAAGCATTCTGGGGAAGGCGAATAAGCCAGGCCCAGGGCTGGAGTGGAGACCGGGTAGGACACATCCAGGGCTGAGTGAGTAGCCCTGGAGCTCCAGAGCAGGGATGCCCCGCGCAAGGGGAGCTGGTGGGTTCTGAAGGGGAAGGGCTTCAGCCCACTGACCGGGGTGTTGGCCAAGCTCAGGAAATGAGATGGTGGCACCAACACTTCTTCATGTATTCATTTATTTAAACGTTAACTTCCTCGTCCATTCGACAAGCCTTTATTCATCATTCTCCATGGGACAGCAGTAGTCTGGGTGCAAAGGAGAGAACAGAGCTAAGATACAGTTCCCTTCCCGGAGGAAATGGCGGTCTGGTGGAGGAGACCCGCACTAGTGGTCCATAACAGATAACACTTGCTACCTGCTCCCAGCAGAGTTGAGCGAGTGAGTGATTATGCCTGGAGTTAGAGGATGGTCAGAAACAGCTTTAGAAAGTTGGGCCAGGGAGCCTGGGTGGCTCAGTCAGTTCTCTGCCTGCATCTCAGTTCCCCATCTCAGGGTCCTGGGATCAAGCCCCATGTCAGGCTCCCTTCTCAGCAGGGAGTCTGCTTCTCCCTCTGCCCCCCCCACTCATTCTCATTCTCTCTCTCTCAAGTAAAATCTTTTTAAAAAATGTTTTTCCATTTGTGCCAAATTTGAAGGATAAATAGGGGTAGGAGCTTGCCAGTAAGAAGTCAAAGGCTTCTTGCAGTAAGAAGCCTTTGAAACAGCATGAACGACACATCCATGCCCAAAGGCTTAACTGCCCGGGGCCCACAGGGAACAAGGGAAGTTGGACTGAGTGGATCCAAGAGTAAAGGGGAACAGAGAGAAGAAGATTGGAGAGGTGAATTAGAGCTGGAATACAACTTAGTCCTAAAGGCACTGGCACAGTGTTGGAAATGTGTAAGCTGGCAAGTCAGGAAAGTAAATGTCTGGAGGACGTGGAGGGGGTCTGAGAGGTCCTGGCAGATGGTAGGGAGACTAGCTACCAGCCCTTTCATTATGTGGAAGGAAAACCAGGAGGACATGAACTGGGGTGGATTCAGTAGGGCAGATAGGGTTCTTGAGTGAAAAATTCTAGTTGGAGGGGCGGGTAACTCCTGGGTTTCTGGCTTGAGTGACTGGTGCATTCCCAAGATGGGAGAGCCAGGAAGAAGAGGAGTTCATTCCTGAATCAGGTTAAGGTTCGAATAAAATTATGTGAAGCATGGAACAGTGTTTAAGGTTACTCCAGGACACCTGTGATGTTCTCCCCACCCTGCCTTAAAACCTTCCAGGGGCTCCCCTGTTCCCAGCAGCTCCAGCCTGGTCCCTGCACTGTCACCGCAGCCCTGCCTCCAAACACACTTGCTGCAGCCCGAGCAGCTTGCACTTCTTTCCCTTGCTAGGCTGTTCTAGTTCCTTGTGCCTCTCACTAGAACACCTTTCTCCTCCTCTTACCTTTTGCCTGACTAATTTCAAGACTCACTCAAAGGTATGATCTTTGCAGAAGGCTCCCTGACATTCTGTAGCATCACCACCAGGGGGTGGGGGGTTGTCCGTATGACTGTCCAGAGCTGGGTACTCACCCACTTGGTTGGTAGGATTTCTATGCATGTCCCCTCCTCCCACCTCTATGTCCCTCAGGGTAAGAGGCATATGTGTATCCATTGTGCCCAGCCCACATGGGAAATAGGACATCAGTAAACATTTGTTAAATGAACAGATCTCAGTCTTATAGCTACCATTGGCTCCCGCATCCTTTGTTCCAAGCACTCCATTATCTAAGGGCTAGATGTTCCATGATCCAAGTCTGTGGCGTTGGGCTTGGCTGTGTGTGTGAAATGGAAAAGAGAAAGAGAAGGAACACAGAGGCCTAGAGAGGAGGGCCACTGAAAGTTTGGGGAGTGAAATGGAACTCCCCAATGGTCAAGGACGCCAGTTTACAAGAGAGCCTGGCCTAGACACCTGTTTCTCCTCTTTCTAAAGTACTGAGCCCTATTTTCTATCACCATCTGGTGGCCACATCCATAAATAACAAGCTCCCCAGGAGCTTAAAGAGCTCGCAGAGAGCAAAGCTTCCAGCAGATTGGCCTCAGAGGGCTCTGAGTGCCTCACCCGCCCCAGCTATAGCGTGCAAATTTGTATGTATGCAAGATTTGCCTCATGCTGGTAGAAAGTGCCAAGAACCTTGAATCAGATTCTTGAAGAAACTTAGAGCTTCCAGAAGGCTGAGAATCACTGTTCTAAAGGACTGTCCTAGAACAATGATTGTATGAAATCCTAGGAGGAATCATAACATGAGAGGGTGTAGAGCATACCCGGATCCCTAGTTGCTCAGAACCTCACCTTCCACTTTCCCCCAGCACCCACCTCCACATGACACAGAACCCGGCCTGAAAACCACGTTCACAAGGCCAGTGGCTCCTGGAGCTTCAGAGCCAGATGAAACCTGGAGAGCCTCTGAGACCATCCAGGCCATGCCTTCGGATGGGGGCCAAGTGAGACTCACAGAGATCGTGGCAGTAATGGAGCTCACACAAATCCTTTCACTCTCCTGGGTCTTTTTTACCATTCAGCCTTGCCTTATTTCCCAAAAACCTACATTTTAAAACTGTAATCCTCAACACTTTTTCTATCTATAATGTAGTTCCCAAATAGGAAACCATTTTTCCTATAAAATTTTAGTCTTCTGGAAAGAGCCATTTCCCTCCTGAATGCCTTTCAACAGACCATAATACCTGTTAGAAAATAAATTGATAGCTTGTATTTGAACAGTTCTTTATAACTAACAACTTCCACAGCCATTAGCAGACTTGTTTTACTATGGGAAGACAGAGACTTGGGTAAAACGGCCTGTTTGCTAACATGTGACACCAGTTTAAGGGTTCTTTCCATCGTCTCATAGCCTTCACCTTCCATGTGAACAGGCAGGTGGTATCACTGCCGTGTTTATTTGGAAGGGTGAGGGGTAAGAGGGATATCTGCTAACCTCAGCCATCTTGGGGGGTGAATAAAGGTAACATCGATCGTATGTCTGAGTATTAGATCTATCTACTGGAGTCTAACATCTGAACAACCTTCCACGTGTGTTTTTAGTCACGATTTTTGCAAATGCATTAACCAGAGCTCAGAAAGGGAACGTGCCTCATACCAAGGCACACAGCTGGTAAACCATGATACGCCTCGGGCCTGTCAGTCCCTCGGCCTGGTTCTGTGCACCAAACGGTCAGCTCCGGCTCTGAACATGCCAGCTTGCCTCCGGGGTGGGCAGTCCTGGCTCCTCTAACCTGCCCCGTCCCTCCCTTTTCTCTCCTTTAGGAGTGCCAGCTTCTCTCAGGGCACGAGGGCCTCATTTCTCATGAGGAGCGACACAGCCGTACAGAAGCTTGCCCAGGGCAATGGACACTGTGTCAACGGGGTCAGTGGTCAAGTCCACGGTTTCTATAGCCTCCCCAAGCCAAGCCGGCACAATACGGAGTTCAGAGACAGTACCTACGACCTCCCCCGGAGCCTCGCCTCCCACGGCCACACCAAGGGCAGCCTCACAGGCTCTGAGACCGATAACGAGGACGTATACACCTTCAAGACGCCCAGCAACACCCTGTGTCGGGAGTTCGGGGACCTCCTCGTGGACAATATGGACGTGCCAGCCACCCCACTGTCAGCCTACCAGATCCCTAGGACGTTCACGCTGGACAAGAACCATAATGCCATGGCAGTGGCCACTCCCGGGGACTCGGCCATCGCTCCCCCGCCCCGGCCTCCCAAGCCAAGCCAGGCAGAAACACCTCGATGGGGCAGCCCTCAGCAGAGACCCCCAATCAGCGAAAGCAGCAGATCCATCTCTGCCGCGGCCACCATCCCCAGGCGCAACACACTCCCGGCCATGGACAACAGCCGACTGCATCGAGGTTGGTAAAAACCCCAGCCGCGACCCTGGGGGAAGGGAGGTGGCTTGGGAGGTCTCAGTAATTTTCCAGTCCTTGGTTATCCCTGCTGAGGAGACGTAAGGCCCACCCGGGGCACGGATACTCACAGGTTCAGGGACCTTGTACCCAAACCCCTTCCTGGCTGGTCCTCCGGCCCCGGAGGCTATCGGCAGATGCCTGCCATGCAGGAGTGTAGCTGACCCTGCCTGAGCAGTTACTCTTCTCCTCAGGTCGCTAGACCAGTTTTGGTTAACCACAACACAACTTATTATGGGTTTGGAAGTCCAAATCACAGTATTTGATTCAATATAAATCAAAGATGGAAAAAAATAAATATAGAGGACCAGTTCGAATAAATATAGAGGACACAGCCAAACCTGTGTGGACTATTAACACAAATTTTGAGCTACTGAATATTTTCTAAGCCACATATGAACCTCTTTGGGGAAAGTCTGGACTTCTCTCTAAGTGTATAAATTTCAGTGTCACTAATTTCCCCTGAGCATATTCCAACCCTGAATAAGTGTCCTCTGTTTGACAAAAAAGTACAGTAATATTAATTCCTTTCATTTTGATCATGCCACATAGCTTGCAAAGCCTGCTTCTGTCCATCCTGTTTGTCTAAGTCACGGAGTGACCCTGAGCGTGTGGTCGGAGAAAGCCTCAGTGTCCCTATCTCACATGAGGCCTGTGGTAGTCAGGAGACGTATTCAGGGTTGCAGCATCCATCGGGGACAGAGATGGGACTCAGACCTGGGCTTCTGAGTCTTGGCTCAGTCCTCTTTCAGTCCATCGACTACCTGATCAATCACCTTGTGCTTTGGAATTGAAATGATACTGACACACAGAAAACATGTCCCTACCCTTCAGAGAGCTCACATCCAGTTGGAGAAATAAAACCAACATCTATAAATTAGTCCAGCATCATTATTCCTATAATTCTCACAGAAGTGATGGCGGGGATGAGCGGGACAGGAGTTGAATGCCGTAGGGGGTGGAGGAGAGGGGTGTAGCTGAGGGAAGGAGTCGTTAAGGAGGGATCCTCTCTAGGTGTCAACACTGGAGCTGGATCTAGAAGCCGGGGAGGAATGTTTGAACTGAGGAATGATGGGACGGAATAACTTATCACTTGGGTTTGAGAGTGGTATCTGCTGGTGTATCAGTGAGACCCGGAGCAGCACTGCCAAGGGTCTGGGGAAGTATTAGCACATGGGTCTCCTTTCCTCTCTCTAGCTTCTTCCTGTGAGTCCTACGAGTATCCGCAGCGTGGTGGCGAGAGTGCAGGCCGGTCTGCTGAGTCCATGAGTGATGCGGTCAGTTCTTTCCTGGTGAGTGGGGGTTAGCCAGGGTTCCTCAAGCCACCCTGGTGGGGTAAAGTCATACCCCAGGGAACAAAAAGTACAGCTCACAGGAGTGCTGGCATCTCCCTCTTAGGTCCCTGACTGCTTTCTTGTCTCTGCCCAGATGCCTGGGTTGGGTTTTCAGAAAATACAGGTATCTGGTGTGGAAGGAGTGAGTGTACTTAGGAACCTAGATCACAAGGCTCGCCCTCCAGGTCAGTAGGACGGGTCTAGAATGCAGAAGCCCCAGGCTCTGGGATGGGGAACCTGAGGCAGCAGGCTCCTCCCTGAGGCACTACCCAGGAGAGGGGCTGCAGCATGGGGAGTGGGTTGGGGAGTGGGAGGGCGGGGGCGGCAGGGTGCTCAGAGGCAGTCTTTGTGGCAGAATTAGGGTCTGAGTGCAGGATCCCAGGCTGCCCCCTGCAGGGGGCTGACTGCAGCTCTCCAAGCCAATGAGGGGCCTGGCGTCACGCCCACTGAAATGATGAAAATTGGATAACCGAAGCAGAAGCAGCTCGTCTGTGTGGACAGACAGGGCAGGAGTCGAAGCCAGGTGACTGCACTGTATAACTTGGTGGCAGCTCCGACTGCTGCTGGCGGTCACCCTGAGAGCTGGCCCGGGGGAGCACACTGGCCCAGGTTTCTCTGGGCTCCTGGCTAGGACCCAGGTTTCTCCGGGCTCCTGGCCCTGCTCGGGCTTCAGATGCAAGCCCGCTAATGGAGATTCTGGACCTGAGATGAAGGGCAGGTCCTATAACAAATCCATACAGTCCATGGCCTGTGCCACCCTCAGCCTGGGCAGGCCCCCACAAAGCCTTGTGCACCCGGCCACGAGGGCTGTTTTATACTAGAGGATTGTTATACATTCCAAGTGGGTCTCAGGGGATCGTGGAAACTAGAAGGGACCCACAGACATTTCTTTCTGCCTCTGACTGTGCTTTCCTGCTTGGTTTTCCCAGGGCCTGCCTATCAGCTTCCTGAGGCAGCCAACTTAATCATAATTCTCCTCACCTTGCATACGGATTCTCCCTCCCTTCCTGTTTCTTCTCACTAGTTACCGCTCTGTTTCTTCACTCCCCGCTCCCAGCCCGGGAAAACCGCCGTGGGCCGGTCAGAGAGCAGCAATTCAGAGGACAACTACGTGCCCATGAATCCAGGGTCCTCCACCCTGCTGGCCACGGAGCGAGCAGGCGATAACTCCCAGAGTGTCTACATTCCCATGAGCCCGGGACCCCACCACTTTGAGGCGCTTGGCTACCCCTCAGCAGCCCTTTCTATGCACCGGGGCCCCAGCCGAGGGAGTGAGATCCAGCCACCCCCTGTCAACCGTAACCTCAAACCTGACCGGAAAGGTGAGTCTTCTCTTTCCCCCCGTCCCATCTCTGGACAGGGTCCAGGAGCTCTCTGGATTCATTTAGGAATTGGGTGATGAGTGAACTTTCCTTGCCAGAAGCATTAGCCTCTGGGACCTAAACCACCCCCCAGCTCTCACATACACAAACCCTCAAGTTCATTCCAATGGCCCAGCAGCCTAGGGACTGGCCACCAGGGTAGCCTTGATGGGCAGGGGTGCAGGCACCAGAAGGACGAGACACGGTTTCCAGCTCTGCTACCGGGATTAGATGCCAGTTGTTCTGTGTGCCTGAGCCTTGTTTCTCATCTGAGAACGATGAACACTTGCCCCGAAGAGCACTGAGCAGCACAGATAATGTCTCAAAGTGCCTTGTAAAGTATAAACTGCCTTTGGAGGACACAGGCTGATTATTAGAACTGGCAGAGCGGGCTGTTACGGGATACACTGTGCTAGAAAGGCGTGAGCCTGCAGACTGGCTGCCTGTGGGCTGGAATCCTCATTCAACTTCCTAGGGTGCGACTTTGGGTAAATCCTTTCACTCTCCTGAGCTTCAGTTTTCTTACCTGTGAAATGGGGATAGTGGTGCGCTTCAGAGGAAAGCATCTAGGACACTGAGTCTGTAGGCGGCTGGTGTTCGGGAAAGCTAGACCCGTGCCCACTGTGGTTCGAGTTCCCAGCCTGCTGTTCCCTTAGTCTGCTGGCCGGGGATGAGTAGCAGGAATTCAAAGGGAGAAGTAGGATGACCAGGCAGGATACCCGCCACCTGCAGGTGATCTGGTCAACGGAGAATTCAGATCTTAGCATTTGAAGTGAAGCCTTTAGGGCCTCATGCATTCACCTTCCTCCCCTGCCGGCTCCGCGGCCCTGAACCACGAGTGGCAGGGAATGGTCACAGTGACTTTCTCCATCTCTGTTACCATCTCTTGTTTTTATATACAACCACAGATCTGGGGAGAACAGTCTGTTGTCAGACGCAGTGTCTCCATTTTGGATTCTAAAAATGTGATCACTACAGAATATGCTTGCAAAGAAAATATTCAGAATCTTAAGATACGACTTAGGGGCCTAGCAATATAGGCAAAGATCACAGAGCCTGCTGAGCCTCAGTTTCCCTGTGTAAAAGCGGGAGTATGAAAGCATTTGTAAATAGACTTGTGTGTTATGTGGACATGCATGTCTGTGTGGCATTGTCTTCAGTGGCTGATCGTTTGACTTTGTTCCTGCTCCAGTAAAGCCAACACCACTTGACCTGAGAAACAACACTGTCATCGATGAGCTCCCCTTCAAGTCACCCATCACCAAGTCTTGGTCTAGGGCCATGTGAGTGTCCGTCTGGGGAAGCCGGAGCCTGGGACAGGGTTGTGAAGGCTGAGTCAGGAGAGCTGCAGCCTGATGCTCACGCCGCCGGTAGCCGAGCGGTCTCTGGGACTTGGTTTCTGGCTCTGTGATGGGAATTGGGGGGGTGGTCATTGCACCTGGAGTGGGGAGTTCTGAGGGCGGAGTCTGAGGGTGAGGACTGAAAGCTTCCCAAGGTCACGGCCTTCTCTCCACCACAGCCACACCTTCAACAGTTCCTCCCAGTACTGCCGCCCCATCTCCACCCAGAGCATCACCAGCACAGACTCCGGGGACAGCGAAGAGAACTACGTCCCTATGGTGAGTCCTCTGCACTCCTCAGGAGTGAGTCTGCGGGTCCCCTGTGGGATGGGACTACTTTGCTGTGTACAAGTGTGTCGAGCATAGCAGGGTCGTCATCAGAGGCAAGGAGGACACGATCCCTGCCGTCCAGGAGGCTGCACTCTTAAAGGGCCTAGAAGGCCTCCCTCTCACAACTCTGACATGGGTGGAGAGGCAGTGCTGTGGGCACACACAGGGAGAAGGGAGGCAGCCATGTAGGCAAGAGACGCGGGGTGGGGGACCACAGAGGAGGAGGAGAGTGGTTAACTATGGCTACAGCTGGAGATTGGGCTGGCTGCAGCTTATGAATGACCCCGAATGCAGTCTTGGGAAGCCTGGGCTTTCCCTGTGGGTCACAGGGAGCCACAGAAGGTTTAAAAGGCCAAGTGATGAGACCAGTGCCTCAGAACTGTCCCTGGGAGCCTACAGAGAATGACTAGAGTAGCCTGGACATGCGTTACCATGATGCGCAGTGGCGAAGGCCATGACAGAGGGATAAACACTGTCCGCACGTGAGAACTTGCCTCCCTGACGTTTTCATTGAACAGGGAGTAGCTGCCCAGCTTCTGTAGCTGCTACATCCATACTGGAGCAACAGTCAGCAGCCAAGAAATAGAACACAGGACTGTTGCCATTCTCATTAGAATAAGACTTCAGGACACTTCTAGACGTTGGTCTAGTGCCTGGACGGAGAGAGGAGCCAAGAATGTCCCCCCTTGCAGAGCTGGTGCAGGAGCCTGGGGAGAAGACCACCCTGCTTGGATCCTGGAGGGGCAGGAGCCAGGGCCATTGGGAGCCAGCTGCTTCGGGGGCACTGCCCTGTTCGAGGCCAGGGAGGGGAGATTCGGAGAAGCAGGTGTGGTGCCACCTGCTTTCCAACCTCCAGGGCGTAAAGGAGGGGTGCCCCATGTTGGGGACCAGCAGGCAAACACAGGGTCGGTCAGGGAGCCAGTGGAGGAAACTGGGCCAGCCGCCCCAGGAGGATGGCAGCACGGTACAGCGGGACTCAAGTGGGTCTGGGAGCCTGACGACAGACCTGGTTCCCAGCCCCACTCGCCAGCTGGACAAGCACAGGCAACTTTTTTTTTTCCAGGTTGAAATGACACAAATTTATTCTCTTACTGTTCGGGAGGTCAAAAACCCAAAATGGGTCTTACAGGACTAAAACCAAGGGGTTAGCAGAGCTGTGTCCTTTCTAGAGGCTCCAAGGGAGAATCTGATCCTTGCCTTCTTCAGCTTCTAGAGGCTGCCTGTGTGCCTTGGTTGGTGGTCTCTAGTCAGCAACCCTATCCCTCCAGCCTCAGCTTCTCCGATTCGGGTGCTCCTGCCTTTCCCCTTCACTTAAAAGGACCCCTGTGGTTACACTGGGCCCAGCGGGGTGGTCCAGGATGATCTCCGTCTGATAATCCTTAATTTAACCGCATGTACAGAGTCTCTTTGCCATGTAAAGTAACATCTCCACTAGTTTGGGGACTAGACACAGACCTGCTGGGGACAGGCAAGTCAGGCCACTTCTCTGAACCGTAGTTTTATCTTTGTTTTAAACAAGCATAGTAAGAATAGCTACATCCCAGGATCCTTATGAGGGTTTAGATGAGGACATAAGCAGCCCGTGGCCCAGCACAGGGCTCTGAGCACGCACTCCATGCCCAGAGGTGTGGGTTTTTCCAGGTGGTGGCTTCGTCTGCTTTCTACACTTATGAATGGTTTTTCTCTCCTTTGTAATAGCAAAATCCAGTGTCTGCATCTCCCATTCCCAGTGGCACCAACAGTCCTGCCCCGAAGAAGAGCACAGGCAGCGTTGATTATCTGGCCCTGGACTTCCAGCCGAGTTCCCCCAGCCCCCACCGCAAGGTACCGCCACAGCCTAGCCCTCGGCCTTGTGCTGCCTGACTGCTTTTCCTTTAGTCTGGGTCTTAGAGGGCCTGCACACCACCTCTGAAAGCACAGGGGCTTGAGTTCTGTCCAAACTTCTCAGCCAGTCCATCCCCCTTGTGCCGGTGAGCAAATGGATGCAGGCCAGGAGCCGCGATCCGCTCAGGGTTACAAAGGGAGTGAGTGACAGAGCCAAGCCGCAAGGATGCTGGGTCCTGGTCTTGAGCTTCTGAGAACTGGCGAGGTGCGTCCATTGCCTTTGGTACAGGGACCTGCAGCAGAGAATCCCGGGCCCCAGAAAGCTGCCCCAGGAAGCACACTCAGCTGCCCAGTCCAGACAGCGGGCTGGCTGCCAGTGCTCCCCTCTGGTGGGTGCTTGTTTGCACCTGGCAAATTCCTTCATAGGGAGGTGAGTGGAGGCAGAGCTGAAGGCCGGGGTCCCCTTGGGGCTGGGAAACCAGGAGTGCTGACCAGGGCTGTTGCAGTCCAGGAGAGATACAGGGTGGGCTGTAAAGGCCCCTTTCAAAAACAGAATACAGGATCCTGACGCCCATCTCCTCTCCCCTTGAGGCAGCTCAGAAAGAGGCCCTCCACCCCTGTTCCCCACCATCCGGAAAACTCACAGCCACCTCCCCATTCTGTCCTCAGCCATCCACGTCATCTGTCACTTCCGATGAGAAGGTGGACTACGTTCAAGTGGACAAGGAGAAGACCCAGGCCCTGCAGAGCACCATGCAGGAGTGGACAGATGTGCGGCAGTCCTCGGAGCCTTCCAAGGGCGCCAAACTGTGATGCGGGGCCACCGCACCTGGGGAGGGGCCAGGAGGCAGCATCTCCAGTGCTGGCTCCTCTCCTCTACCCCCACCCCCCAACTCACACAATCTCTCCTCTCCCAGTGCCCCCTCCTGCCACTCTGGCCTTCAAAGCACTTGATGTCAGGGACTCTGAACCCCTCTCCTAAGAGGAGAGGGCCTGATCAAGGCACTTCCTCTGCCCACTCGGGGCCCCCCTTTGATTTTTACCAGTAATGGCCATGCCTCTACCCATCTTAGTTAGAGCTATTGCCAAAAAGCATCCTTCAGCCTCTTCCTGTCCTTTAGACCTGAACACCTACTAGGCTTTGGGAGGGGCTGGGGCTCTGAGCCAGATCCCACACCTCACTTCCGGTCCTAGCCCTCAAGCCCTCCAGCTACTGGGCTACCTCTCCTTCAGTCCCAGAAGATGCCACATTGTCTTGCTGACCCAGGGAGCCCAGGACCAGCAGAGCAAAGTGGACATGGACTTCATCCTTGTCTTGGTAGAGGACAGGCAAGGCCCCCAAAAGATGAAGTTGAGAAGGAAGGTTAGCAGTGGTCTTGAGGCACACAGGAAGGAGGTCCTGGATGCAAAAGGCAGGTGATAAGGACAGGAACCCTGCCCGTGTGTAGCTGGAGTGGGTTGGGAGAGGCAGAGGGAGGAGGACACAAGGGAGGGAAAACAGGAGGATGGGCAGGGGGTGACCAGGGCCCCTAGACCACTGGTGCACCCAGGCCCCCCTCCGTGGGCGTACAGGAGGGGCTGGGAAGGTGCGGGGTGCTGCAGGCAGTGCAGGGTGGAGAGGGAGTGTGGGGCAGTCAGTAGGTACTGCAGGGCCTGAGGGGCTGGCCGCTGTAGTGGGGAGGGAGCAGCAAACGTGCCTCTATAGGACAGGTGGTGGGGGGAGGGCAGATAACTGATGTGCTGAGAGGCAGGAGGTGGACAGTGCAGCGGGGGCAGGGGGTGGGGGTGGGGTGGAAAGCCAGGGCAATGCCTGGGGCTGTAGGCCAGAGCAGTGAGTGTGAGGGTCATGGGGAAAGCATTGCAGGGGAGTGTGGGGCCAAGAGGATGTCGGGGAGGGCTGGGGCTTCCCTGAGCCATGTTGGATTCAGACCTGGTCCCTGGGATGGGAGAGGCCAGACCTCTGCTCCTGTGGCTTAAAGGCCCCGCATGAGCGGTGTCCTCCCCCACCAGGTATTTTGTCCTAAGGTGGGAAGGACAGATCTGAATCTTTTGTAGATGGTTCTTGCCCAAATCTTCCAGGGTTGCAGAGGTCTCATCCCACCCTGGGATGAACAGACCTCATTCCTACAGAAAAAAATAACTTCCCACCATGGCTGACGGAGGTGGCTACTGCTCACCTTTGGGTTCCCGCGAGCATACACCTGGCCACGGTCTCAGAAGCCCCACTCCGGCCAGGAGGGTTTTCTGCACGGTAGCCCCTCTCCTAGCAGTTCAGCTCAACTCAGCGGGCACTGATGAATGGCTGCCGGAGCCAGGTTCTGGGAGTTCGAGAATTTGTGCACTTGAGGTGGGGGTAGGGGAGACCCAAGGGCACAGGACATTGGTAAGGGCCGTGAGAGAGACTGGAAGCAAGGCTACTTCAGGATGGTAGTGCAGATCAGGGAGAGGTGATGTCTGGGAAAAGGGGGTGCTAAGATGGGTTTGAGAGGCAGGAAGGGCAGGGTAAAGCACTGGGGCTGATGGCAGTGGCTGACACTGTCCCTTTAAGGCCCTCACTGAAGGGTCTCCTAGGGCAGAGCATTGAGTGGCGCTGCCCTGTGCCCCAGGTGCCAGCACTTTGGACCGTGAGGTGAATGAAACTGAGTGTTCAAATCTAGTGTCCAAGGAGGCCTCCTTCCAGCTCTTGGTTCCTGAGGCTCCCAAGCCCTCAGGGGAGAGGCAGAGACAGAAGGACGTGTAAGAGGACGATGGCCTGGTGAATGCAGAGACTCGGGCCTCCCCCAACCCGGTGTCTAGTACACACCTCTCAGTTCAGTTTAGCTCCCTGGTGGCCTGGCAAGGGCAGACCCAGGATTCATGGTGCCTGGGCCAGCAGGAGCAAGCAGCAGAGAGGGAGGAAGGGTTCCAGGGAGTTGAGCAAAGCAAGGTCCCAAGGAGCCACCGCCTGTGAAAGGGTGGCTGAGGCCCTTCCAGGCTGTTTCTCTGCAGGGGGAAGGCTCACCGGGGATGGGCAGCACCCAGGGCCTTAGTCAGTCTGCCCGGTCCCCTTCCCGAGATGGGACTTTGAAGACTTCTACATTTGAAACCCTTCAAATACGCCCCATTTGTAGAGGAGAAGCACAACCCTTCCCGCTCTGCAGTGAGTGGAGCAAGGGCTTGCCTCGGCCCCGGCCGACCTACCCCTCACATCCTCCCAAGAGCTCTGGCCGCAGTTCACACTCCGGGGCACCCCGTGAGGAAGCAAGGCTGGGCCCAGGAGCACTGCAGCTCCCTCCTCCGGGAGCCAATGTTCTGGGACTTTGCAATCTCCCTGCGCTGCCCGTGGAGGGGCCCCCTCGAGGTGCAGGCTGTCCTGTGATAGTTGGTGGTGTGTATTCTTGTGTGTTGGTTACATGTGTCTTGAAATTTAGAATCATTTCGCACAGAACTGTCAGGAAGAGAAAAGGGGCTAATAGCCCAGTCTTAGGTTCTTGCCCTGTTATACCATTTTAAAATCAACATTTAATTTTTCAAATCACTGTTGGTGCCTAATCACTTAAGTTATTAATTTATTCTGTTTTCTCTTTAAAAAATGTGTAACATGTATTTATCCTGTGCGTAGGTCTGGGGTGGGGTGGGAATGTGTTCTGGTGGGTCCTGGTTTTGCTGTGGTGATACACGGCATAGGCCTGGAGCTTGCAGGGCCCTTTTTAACGTGGTGTTGGAGCAGGACAACAATAAAGTCCATTAGAAGCAACCAGAGAAGGCTTCTGGAGCCTGCCTTGTCCGAAGGCGCTGGGGAGGGAACCCGCCTGCATAGAATCCCTGCCTGGGGGCCACCCACGTATAGGCCTACACACAGCTCTTCAGGGCCCCTGTGAAGCTAGGGGCTGTTCTGCTCCCTTTCATTTTAATAGGGAGTAACGGGGCCCTCATCTTGACTGGGAACAAGAATGAATCCTCCTTACCTTGGAATGTGTGTTCCTGATGTAGAAAATGGAAACTGTAACTTCCACCCATTCATCTTAGAAGGTGCATGGAGTGTAGAGATGAATTCTGGGCATGACTTGGTCTCTGCCAGACTACTAGCCCAGTTTCGCTGATCCCTAAGGTCTGATGTCTCAAGCCTCTGGGACATAGGCCAAAACTCACCTCCTCCACCTCCAGCACTGGCCAGCCAGCCCTTGCAGTCCCTGGCCACACCATGGCCTCTGTCCCTGACTTCCCATCTGCTTTGTTCCCCCAGATGGGTAGGGTTGGGGTGGAAAGGGCTCCTACATGACCTGCCCAGCTCCAAGAATGGGCTGGCACCTGGGGACACCAGGGAGGGGGGCTACCCACCCACCCCTTTCCTCCTGGCCGTCGCCCATCCCAAGAGGGGCCACACACCTGTACCAGGTTCTCCCAGGGAAAGCGGGAAGAATGTGGGAGCAGCAGTAGCCAGTTCTGGGCAGTCCAGAGTTCTCGGGGTCTGAAAAATCTCCAGATGCAGGGGCTCTGGCTTCACCCGATAGGTGAGTCCCCCCAACAGGACCTCCTCAGGCAGTGGACTGGGTAACTGCCTCTCAGGGTAATGAGTGTCCTTCCCTTTACCAGCACCTGCCTCCGGGGAATATGACCACTGCTGGTCCCAGCTCTACCCTCGGGGTTCTCCCAGTCCTCACCTTGAACTTGCAAGCGCTTCAGCGTGGCACACTGTCACCTCCTGTGGGGCGTCACACAAGCCAAGAGGGCACAGGTTGTGCCCTCCTCACTGTGCCCTCCTCACTGCCCAGACACAGCAAGAAACAAAGAGCACTGCCGCCATCACGGCCACTGAGGCAGAAAGAATGACATCTTTAAAGGCTTCGGAGAACCTATTTTTATTCCCGTTTGAGACCCTGAGTCTCTTCTCTCTGTGTAGAAGGGTACAGCAGTGTCAGGGCACATGAGGTCAATATCTGCTCCTCACCAAACCACCCCCAGCAGCCCCGAGGCCATGGCTCGCATGCCCACAGATGAGGAGCTGAGCCAGCCAGCTTTCCTCAGGTCCGACAATGGCTTCGTGAGAAACGCAAACATAACTGCAGTAGAATAAGATTCTCTATCGTAACCAGAAAGGGGATGCAGGTGGTGGCATCTCAGGCACTGAGGCAGGCTAGGGGAGATAGGGTTTGGGGGGACTGTCCCCTCTATGCAGTCTCTGACCCCGCGCCAGGCTGCTTCCCACCTGCACTCCCCTCAAAGAAGTACCAAGGGTGCGGGCAATGCCAGCCGGGGCCTCTGGAACCCCCTCAGAGAACCCAGAAGGTGACCCTGATCCTGCTCTGTTTATACTAGAGAGCAATAGGATTGTCTGAAGGGAGCGAGGAGGGCTATGCTACTTGATGGCAAACACCGTAGCTGTGAAGTCAGCCCCGGCACGTAGCCTGCTGGGGGGACAGGGGGACAAGGCCCAGAGTGTCCATCTAAGCTGCTTCAAGTTGACCAGGACACTTGGGTGAGAAATCTTAATGGGGCTGATCCCAGGGTCAGGGGCTTGGCTCTCACCTCTGTATCTGAGTCTCTGTGCACCCTCCAGGCTGAGGAGTGGCATCCCAGAAGCTTCCGCTCCACCTTGCCCTCGGGAGGGCCTGTCTTCAAGGTTGGACCTGCCTCCACAGCCTCGCTCAGACCCCACCTGGCAGAGCGCCTCTGCCTCGGTCCCCACCCAGTTCCCTGAGGGAGAGGATCAAGGCCTCCCTTCGGTGGACTGTGGCGCCCCCCGCAAGTGGGAGCAGGCTGGGGCAGGGTCCGCTTTAGAAGACCAGTCTGTGGAAGTCACCACCACTGCCACCTGCAGGACTGCAGCCTCCTGGCGAGCCTTCGTCCTCATCCTTGTCTTCGTCGAAGCCCCTTCCCCAGTGCGGAGAGGCGGGGAGCGCAGAGATGTAGGCCGCCCTGCTTCGGGCCTCCTTCTCCTGCTCCTGGGAACACAGATGCGGATGGGGAAGGAGGTTTAAAGTTCAGGCTCTGAAGCCAGAGGCTTCACTGCACCCCCCAACCCAGTGCCATCCAGCACAGCAGTTCCAACTGTCTCCGGGGTGCCCAGGGCCAAGCACCAAGGACCCTCAGTTCCTGCCCACGGGATGTGCCAGCCCTGCAGGAGGGTGGCTGGGGTGGAGCCTCCTTCTACCCTCTATCTAGCCTTCAAAGCCACTCTTCTCCCAGTAACAAGTCCTAGCCCCTGGGGAAAAGGAGCTCATTCACACAAGACACAAGACGGAGTAACTGATGAGGGCCTGCCATGGCCCCAGGAAGGAGGAGCACGTCCCACCACACAGGGTCCCCCTCTGGTGTCCTGACCCGGCTGTCCAGCTCACTGCCCCACGAGGAACGAGGAACACGCCCGTCCTCAGGCTGAATGGAGCCCAGCCTCACCGTAGCTCCTCACCCGCTGCCCTGCCTCCACCTAGACGGCCCAGCAGAAACCTACAGCCGGCCTGGTGTCCCCACACGGACTCCGATGCCTCTGCCCTGATGACTGGTGGTTCGTGGCCTCT